ACTCAATGACCTCATCTTAACTTGGTTATCTGCCAAGACCCTCTTTCCAAATAAAGTCATATTCACAGGTGCTGGAATTAGGACTTCAGTCTATCTCTTTGGGGGACACAGTCCAACCCATAACACCCCCTCAATTCCCCCCTCCACATGACAGCCCGAGGGGCAAAGCACAAACCCGACTCTGTCTTTTCTCTGCTCAAAATCCTCCCAAGATAGTGGAATATTACACAGCCATAAAAAGGAATGAAGTACTGATTCAGGCTACAACATGGATGAGCCTGGAAGACATTATGCTGAGTGACAGAAGCCAGACACAAAAGACCACATAATCCTGTGAAATGTCCAGAACAGGCAAATCCACAGAGCCAGAAGGTGGACTGGTGGTTGCCTGGGGTTGGGGGTTGTGGGGGATGGGGAGTGACAGCTAAGAGGTAGATGGTGTCTTTTCGGGGTGTGGAAAATGTCCTACAGTTGGTTGTGGTGAGAGATGCACAACTCTGAATATACTACAGCCACTGAACTGCACGCTTTAAATGAGTGGATTTCATGGTATGTGAATTACATCTCAATGAAGCTGTTACAAACCAACACCTTCCATGGCTCCCCAGCGCCCTCTGGAGGGAGCCCAGGCTCATCGCCTGCCCACATCCTGAGGCATCAGAGCTGGATGACCCGGAGTCAGACTGTCACGGACACGTAATTCACAAGATGCTACGGAGACACAGCCACGGACACACACAAGGAGGCTCAGTTATAAAGACCCGCTTCGCCACACAATCCCACCCAGACACACGTAGTGACCAGAGTCTGGTGGTGACAGACACAGGCAGAGACACGCGACCTAGACCAGGCACAGCGTGACAGACGCAGCCACGGACCCTCAGGGACACATACGCCCCGTTCAATGACAGGCTCAGCCGCGGACACACTCCTGGCGGCGCCATCCCGGGATGGCACACGGACCCCCGTCCTGAGTCCATCGTGGCAGCAACCACACGATGGTCACACACACACACACACACACACACACACACACACACACACACACACACGGACCCGAGACTGCCTGGCTCTGCCCACCAGCCCCACACAGACCACCTCTCAGACCCATCAGGGTCCCCACCTCCCCCGGGCCCATCCCACTCAGTGACACCCGCCCGCTGCACAGGCGGCCCCAGGACTGGGGGTCCAGCCTCTGGTTCCTCACCCCAGGAAGTGGAGGAGGTATTTTTAGTTACAATTAACCTCCCGCCCAATTTCCCTCCTTGCCGGTGGCACATCCAATTGGTTTAATTAGAGAAGATTAAGTGAGAGGCATTTCCAGGCACCGGGAGAAGGTGGGAGAGGAGGAGAGGAGCCGCCCTTCCTCCACAGTTCAGGATCCCCTATTCCCCCCTCCCTCCCCAGCCAGGCAGGGGTTGCATGAAGGCAGCGGCCTCCCCTTAAAGCAGACCTCAGGCCTTGACCCAGCCCTGCCCTTCCCCAACAACATTTCCTGGCCTGCCTTCAAAGGGGGTGGGGGGTGGGGGGGGGTCGTTGGAAGTCCTTCCCACTGTCTATCCCTCATCCATCTCGCTTCAGTCCTGGGGAGTTTGGGGAGAGAAAAATACTAATCACAGTCCCCAAAACAATATTGAACCCAGAAAATAGTTAGTGTTAGGCCCTTTAAAAATCATAGAATCTTAGAATTATATTTAAAAAAATGAGAGGCCGTGAGCGGAGTGTTTAACGCGCAGGCTCCCCAGCTGCCAAGCCGCCTGGGTTGGATGGAGACGCACGCTCTGCAGCTGTGTGACCCCGGGTGAGCCATCTCGCCTCTCTGAGCCTCAGTTTCCTCATCTGGGAAATGGGGAGCCTGCTTCAACCTCCTGTTGGGGCTTAGCAGTGGGGTTTACCGGGTTGGTGGGTCTGAAGCTCCTGGAAAAGAGCCTGGCACATAGCACGCGCCGGACGAAGGGTGAACGCATGGGTACAGGAGGCAGGCGCGCTCCCACCCCTGTCACCTTTTCACAGGCTACACGACACGCTCAGGTGAGGGGTCCACTGTGGGTCTCCCCCGCGAGGACATCAGCTCCGCGAGGGCAGAGGTCTTTATCCACTGACGTGCAGGGACGAGCAGAGAGCGCGGGCGCAGGAAATCCCTGTGGCCCGAATGAATGACACGGTGGAGGCGGTTGCGGCTCAGAACTACGGACTTGCCTCCTCCGCTCTCCTCCTGCCTCCTGCGCACCCACTGGGTGCTGGGTGTGCTGGGAGGCCCCAGGTCATCCGAGCTGGTGATGGAGAGACAAGCTCTGTCTTCTGACGGGCTGGGGTTCAAGCCGATCATGAAACAGGCCAACAGGGGGCGCTAGGGAGACAAGTGCCGGTCGGAAGGCGGGATGCTGTGGTCTGGCTGCTCCTGGCTTTTGCGGAGGCGACCTCTGAGCCAGGACAGGTGTCCCAGGCAAAGGGAGCCGCCCAGACAGAGGCCCCGAAGTGGGGGGTCTGGTCGTTTTCCACTAAGAAGAGCCTAAGCCACTGAGCGTCTGCCCTGAGCTCCACGGCGTCTGGGGACAACACAGCAGAGCGGTCAGACCCCGGACTCAGCAGCGGCTGACCTTCCCGTGAGGGATGTTTCATGCACGGCCACCTCGTCCGGGGCCCGGGGCCTCTCCCTGGAGCCTGGCGCCCGGCCTGGCAGGAGGTGGACAGAAGGGATCCGCTGTGTGAATGAATCAATGAACAAAATCTCAGAGTCTTAGGAGACGGGTCTCCCAGTCCGCAGAGCCTCCTTACACCGGCCATTGTGGGCCTAACACGGCTGGGGACAGAACAGGCCCAGGGGCCCCGGGCCTCAGTTTCCCTGTTTGCACAACGAGGATTCTGAGGCTGCAGCATCGTAGGAGGTGAGCGTAAGTGCATGGTGCTTCCAGGCGGGCTCTGAGGGTCTCGGCACATCCCCAGCCCGGTCTGCACCATCCAAGTGAGTGTCACGGGCTGGTGAGTGGCAGACTGGGGACTTGAACCTGGGCAGGTCCTGCTGGAGTCAGGGTTGTGATCTCCCTGCTGTCCGGCCTGTCGGTCTGTTGGTCACACACGAATGTTTCCGCAGGTGGCTGTTGCTGGAACTTTCCCTGGTGTCAGCCTCTGCCCACATCTTGTGGGCACCCCCCCGGGTGTGATGTCGGTGAGTGTGCGAGCATCAGCACGTGTGAGCACGAGTGAGGACGAACATGCATGTCGTGAGTTTGCGTTTTGTTGTATGACCATGTGTGAGCGAGTGTGAGCTGAACATGTGTGAACGTATGAGTGTGAGAATGAATGCATGTGTTTGTGATTATATACGAGTGTGAATGTGTGTGATCATGAGTGTGTGACGTGTGATGCGTGAGCATGTGTATGCCTGTGTGCGAATATGTGTTTGAAAACATAAATGTGTGGTGGCTTATCTGTGACTCTTCCCGGAGCTTCCCAGTGTGTATGTGTGTGTGTGTGTGTGTTTCCATGCCTGTGTGTGGCCGTGTTTCTGAGTGTGGGTCTATCTTTGTGTGTGTCCTGTGTGTGTGCTGGGGGTGTCCGGTTGTGTGTATTTCTGAGTGTCAGTGTGAATCTTGGCATCGGCTGTATCTGTAGCAATGTGTGCGTCTGTGTGAATCTCCGTCCGGGGTCTGCTGGGTGGGACTCAGGGGCACACATCTCTCCTGGCGCCCCGACACCCACCATGACACACACAGGCACCCAGGGGCCTCGAACACAGAGCAGATGTGAGCACGATTGGGGTGGGGCTGCCCTGACAGGCGTGACACCCTTGCATGATGCCCTGTACAGATCTAAGGAGGGGCCGGGAAGGGCTGGGGGGCCACCCAGGAGAGGGCCTGGGGGCGGTGAGGGGACAAAAAGCAGGGGCCCTGGAGAGAGAGACCAAAACTGAAAAAGATGGAGACGAGAGACACAGAGTGAGGCGAACAGGACTAGAGAGAGACACCCCCGCTCTGCCTTCTTGGTCTCTCGGGGGGAGCAGGTCTGGGAAGCTGAGAGACCCAGGGGCTTGGTTAGCCCATCAGCGTCTCTAGTCACAGACCGTGACCTCTGCCTGTGACTGAGCAGGGCACTGTTCTCAGCATGGCCCTTCCACACCCGCATCAATCAGCTCAGCAGGCCTGTGAGCAGGTATCGCCACTCTCCCCATTTTCCAGATGTGAACGCTGACGCCCAGAGAGGGGAAGTCACTTTCTTGAGGTACCACAGCTGTTATGTTCCAGAGGCTGGATTTGAACCCACGTCCATCAGGGTGAGGCTGTTCAAGGTCCAGCCTCTTCATCTCCCGTGGGACAGATGGAGAAGGTAATCTGAGAGCCACAGTGTGGGAGACTGATGCCAAAATGGCCACAATTCTCCCTCCCTCCCTGTACCCACATCTCTTGCAATGTGAGTTTGCAGCCCCCCCAGCGGGCGGTGGAGTCTATTTCTCCTTCCTGGAATCTGGGCTGGTCTTGTAACTTCCAGTGGCCGGGAGAATGCAGCAGAGATAATCACGTGGCAGATCTGAGCTGGGGCCTCGAGAGGCCTTGGGCCCATCTGCTTTCTCCTGGAGTCCAACCAATCCTCTATGTGAACAAACCAGACAGCATGCTGGTCGGTGTCACCACGCAGTCCAGTCGCTGCTGTTGCCCCTGTTGCCAGCCAGCGGACCCTCAGAAGCAGAGCCCCCAGCAGAGCCGTAGCTGCCCACAGATGCACAAGAGAGCCCTGTGGCAACCACCAGAACTGCCCAGCTGACCCTAGAATAAAATACCAACCCACAAATAAGGAGCTACAAAATAGTTGGCCTTTTGGGCCACGAATTTTGGGGGGGGTGTTTGTTACACGGCAATAGCTAAGTGATACATACAGAGTGCCCAAGAAGAGAGCAGGATAAAAAGTATCAATTATTATTACAATTAGTGATTCATGAGCTTCAAATTGATGAGAATTTGAGTCTGGGAAGAGATACAAGAACACAGATTGGTGGCTTTTTGTTTTTAAGACTTTATCATTAAAAAAAAAGTAGAAGACATCAGAGAAGGGAGGTAGGGAAGAGGGGAGGGGGGTGGGCTGGGAGGATGAAGGAAACCTCTCCAAAATGTCGGATCCAGGTGACCCTTCTTTCCTGATGGCCCCAGCCCACCTCCGATCCCTTCTTTGTCCTGGAGGTGGGGGACCCCCAGCCGCCATCTTCTGAAGACTCAGGCCCAGGATCTCAGCTCAGGTTCTGGGCGGAGGTGAAGGCAGAAGCAGGGCGCAGGGCCTGGAGGCCTTGTCTTTGTCCTTGAGAGACCCTCGCGTGGGCGCTCAGGCCCCCCATGTCCCGGAGGGGCCCCAGGGAGGTAGGCGTTGAGTGAGGGAGCCGTAAGAGGTGGGGTCCTGAAGCCAGAGGGCCAGGCGGGGACCAGAACCAGATGTGAGCCTGGTGGTCACAGTCCGGAGACTGGGGTCTGTGGAGAGGGGAGGAGAGGTCACATCAGGAGGTAGAGGGCGGGTCTGGCCCCACGTCAGCCCCCACCAGCCCCACAGTGAGAGGGACGCAGAGAGGGAGAGAGAAACAGAGAAAGAAGGAGACAGAGTCAGAACAGAAATGGAGGAGGGACAGAGACAGACAGAGACGATGAAAAAGAGACCAGGAGACAGTCAAAACCAAGAAAGACTTAGAGAAAGACAAGGAGAGAGAGACACATAGAGGAGGACAGAGGAAGAAACATCGAGAGAATCAGAGATGAAGACGTGGAGAGAAGGAATGAGGTGTACAGAGGCAGGAAAAACAGAGAGAGACAGAGAAAAAGACAAGGGCGGGAGAGAGAAGGAGGGCAGAGAGAGAAGGGGAGGATCTCCATCTCCTGACCCCAGAGGTCCCCTGACGCTCACACCAGGCCACACCTGTCCACGACTGATCAGAGCAGGGCCGAGACCCCCACTGGCCTGCCAGCTCTGAACACAGCCAGCCATCTGTCCTTCCCACGCTCAGGCCTCCAGTGCCCTCCACGCCTAAGCCCTCCCAGGTCTCCACTCCCAGCTCCCAGCCTTTCTGTTGACCCTGAATTCACTACCCACCCACCAACTCACTAGCCTCAGTCCAGCCCAATCCCTCCCCCCGCCCGTGTGTGTGTGTGTGTGTGTGTGTGGCTCATAGCCAGGAAGCTTCTAAGTGCACCGGGCCTTTGCACATGCTGTTCCCTCCTCTCCTGCATCACTCCTATTCTGCTGGTCTCAGCTCCAAAGTCCCCTCCTCCAGGCAACCCTCCCTGAATCCTCCAGTCTGGGTCAAATACCTCCTCCTGCAGGAATTCCTCCCTGAACCCTCCAACCTGGGTGTGATGCCCCCCCCGGCCCCTCCACTTCTTGGGTTCCCTCATCCCAGCCCTGAGAACTCTGGGTTGTCACTGTCTGGGGACACGGGTGTCTTCCCCACTGAATTATCAGTCCCCTGAGGACAGGGCTGGAGGTGGTATGGTCATTATGGTGTCCCGAGCACCACCCAGCACAGGGCCGGGCACAGAGGAGCTCAGGGAATGTGTATTGAATGAATGAATGAATAGATGCTAAACTAAGGAGTCTGGACTTCATTCAGAGGGCACTAGGAAGCTATAGAAGAGTTTTAATCCAGGGAAGAGTCAAAATCTGTGCTTTAGAAACTCCAGGCTGCCTCTTAACCCTGGGCCTTTGCACATACTGTTCCCTATGCTTTCCTGAGCCCAATGAAGCTATATAAGTGACCTCTTCTCTCTGAGCCTTAGTGTCTCATCTGTATAATGAAGATAATAATAATCTCTCCCTCTTGGGATTGTTGTGAAGGCTAAATGAGAAGATACTCTAAAGTCTTAAGACCTGGGAGAGTACAAGAATGCACCATACTACCTTGCTCCCCACTCTTACCCAGTGGACTCCTATTCATCCTTCGATGCCCCACCCAGAGGCCACTTCCTCTACAAAGTCTTCCCTGATATCTCAGAGATAGCTGATGACTCCCTCCTTTGAGCAAGCTGTGTTTTATTGTTTCAACTGTTGCACAGGATTGTCATTGGTTTCTGATGTCCCCTTCCTCAGAAGCCCAGAACCTTCTCAAGAGCTGGATTATACCTGAGGCATGTCAGGACGTGGAGTGGGGGTTCAATATATGTTTGGAGATGTAGGTAATGTATGGATGGGTGGATGAATGGGTGGGTAGGTAGGTGGGGGAACACAAGGATAAGTTGACAAGTGGATGCACACATGGGCAGGTGGGTCAACATGGAGGTGGGTGGGTGGGTGGGTGCGTGGGTGGACAGATGAATGAATGAGTGAGTAGGTGAACGCATGGTTGGATGGACAGTGAGTGGATGGATGTTTGGTGGATGGTGGGTAGATGGATGCCTGATGAAATTTATGGATGGATGAGTGAGTTGATGATGGATGGACGGATGGATGGAGGGATGGATGAGTGAGTTGATTATGGATGGGTGGATGGATGAGTGAGTTGTTTATGGATAGATGGATGGATGAATGAATGAATCATCTTTTCACCAAGCCCTGGAGAACCCTCAGTTCAGGGAGCCAGGCTGACCCTGCTCTGGGTGGGCACACTACTGGAGTCCAGAAGTCTTACGAAGGTTTGAGTCACACAACCTCCAACCCAGTACCCCTCTACATTGGACACTCACACTTCTGAATCCAGCGTCTACAGATAATGCCACTCTCCTTCTAAGTTCAAACTCATCCCCATTGATCCTGGAAGACAAAAGGGGAGTGTTACCGGGTCTTCACCAGACACCTGCATATGCCCTTAAGTCCCTCCCACCCCTTCCTTCCCCAGGGGATCCTTCTATTGGGACACACTGAGTCATCGTTTAAGAGGGTGCTGGTCCTTTAAGGAAAAGTGGAGCCTTCCAGTAGGTGGGAGGAGCCTGAAAGAAGCCAACCCAATGAGGACCAGGAAATCTGCATTTGCATCTCCAGTTCCCCTGTTATGCAAATGAGTCACTGTATTATTCATGAACTTAATCCCATGAATTTAATGCCAGGAGGGGCGTGGTGTGCTGGGGGCGGGGCTTAGGGGCGGGGCCTTACCTGGCGGCCTGCCGGTCATGTGTGGCTGAGTCTCCGCGTAGCCCGCCATGGGCTGGCTCTCCGGGCTGAAGGCTGCACCCTGCCCTGCGAGGGGGGTTGAGGGTGCAGGCTGAGCCCCAGGATGCCCGGGTCCTGACATTCCCGCAGGAACACGAGGCCCTCTCTCCCCACCTTCTCCCTGTACCTGTGCGGTTGGATTGATCTATCATTGGTTGCACGATGCGTCTCCGGGCGTTAATGAACCTGGAGGGGTGGGTCATGGGAACGGAGGAGGGTGTAAAGAGTAGGAGATGAACAGACAGAGACAGCGAGAGAGCCGGGAAGAGAGGACAGGGAGAGGAGAGGACAGGCTCCGAGGGGCGCCGGGGCCTCCTTCAGCACCGCGGACAGCGCCAGGCCGCCCACCCCGGCTGCCCCACGGACGGCCCACGCCTCCCGGGTCACTCACCAGTTGTTGACCTGCAGGATAGTGAGCCCCGTGTCCTGCGCCAGCTGTTTCTTCTGCTCCTCCGAGGGGTACGGGTGCTGTGGCCACCAGCAAGGGTCACCCTGCCGGCCCGGCCACCATCTGATCCCCGAGGCCTGGCCCTTCTGGGTCTCCGAGGATAGCGAGCCCAGGCTGGGGCAGGGGCCAGGACAGCCAGAGCATCTGAGCTTCTCTGGGCTCCCCTGGGGCCCAATGGAGGGAAGCTGAACCGAGCTTAGGGCAATTACGCCCGTGGGCGCCCCCGCCTCTTCCAGCAATTAGAGACTAACTGGCCAGCTCTCATTAGGGAGACTGAGCGTGCGGAGGGGGCCATCACCCAGAAAGGAGGCAAAGCCGGCACCAGCCCTCTGAGTCTCTGTCAGGGTCCCCGTGCACGTCTCTCGCCGTCCCAGTCTCTATCTTTCCCTGTGGCTCTCTCTCTGACTTAATCTCTCTCTCCCGCTCTCTCTGTCTCTGTCCCTCTGTGACTCAGTCTCTCCCTGTGTCTATCTTGCTCTGATTCAGTCTTCCCCATATCTCTCCATCTCTATCTTTGTTCCAGCCTCTCCCTGTCTCTCTTTTTCCAGCTCTCTCCAGGAGGCAGTGTTGTGCAGTGGTTAAGGCCACACTGCCTGCATCTGAACCCACTTCTGGCTGTGAGACCTCTGAGCCTCTGTCTCCCCGTCTGCAAAATGGAGTTAATAATAGCCCTGCCATCATAGGGTATGCTTGGCTGGATGGTGGATGATTGACGGCTGGGTGAATAGATGGGCGAATGGGTGGATGGGTTAGGGGGAGGACTGAATGAGTTAAGAGCCCTCAGCGGCGCCCAGCACCTGGCACCCAGGTAGCGCTCACGGATGTCTGCCCCTGTCAATCATCTCCTTGAGATTCTCCCTCAGTACTTCTCCCCTGCCTCCGTCTCCCATCTCTGGGCTCTCTCGGGGCCTCAGTCTCTGTGCAGCCGTCCTTTTCTCTCTTCCTCTATGCCCACCCTGCACCCGGGGCCCCAGCGCGCTCACCGAAAGATGCTGGAACAACCAGGCTCTCATGATGTTGGTGGCCACCTTGGGGAAGATGCCCCTCTTCTTGTTCCGACGCCGCTCCTGGTCCAGCTCCTCGTCCTCTCCCCCAGAACTGGGAGATGCCACGCTTGTGTCCAGTCCGTCTCCTGAGGGGCGAGAGGCATGTTGTTTGTGGACAGTGAAGGTGGGGGACCAGGGGGACCCAGAACCCTCACCCAAGACAACACTTCACATCCCAGCCGTCTTTGCCCCTCTGGAAGTCCTACTTGTTGTCTAACTTCAATCCTCAGACTGACTCCCACATGTCCCCTCCACCTCCCAAGCTTCTCACCTTGGTCACTAGAGTTGTCCCCACTCTGGGAGGCCAGGCCGCCACTGGATGGACCCGGGGTCCCCAAATGTACAGACCCACTGTCCTCATGGTCTCTAATCCAGGTATTATTCTGGAAAACAAGAGTTGAAAGTCAGTGCCAAGGCTTGGGGTACCATATAGCACAGTGGCTAAGATCGTGGGCTCTGGAGCTAGGACTCTTGGGTGTAAAGCCTATCCCTGCCTCTTTCCTGGCTGTGTGACCTTGGGCAAGTCACTTCACCTCTCTGTGCCTCAGTTTCGTCACCTGGAAAATGGAGGACAATAACGGCCCCCACCTCACAGAGTGTGGTAAGGACTCAATGAGTTAATTTATGTAAAGGCACATAGCAATCGCTCAATAAAGATGAGCTTATACAGATTGACGGCACCTTATCTGAAATCCTCGGGGGCCTGCAGTGTTTCAGAATTCAGAACTTCTCACATTTTCAGAGAGTAAATCAGTGCACACACCGCGTATTTCATAGCACCCCCAGCAGGGTCTGGGGCATAACCTCGTCATCAAACTCATTCACATTTCTGCAGCAAAATGGATGAATATTTAACTAAGTGGAATAAATAAAGGCTATAAATAGTCTCTCATTAGTTCAGGTCAGATTTTGCTGCCAAATGAGTCTGCACTCAACTTATGGAGAAAAAACCCCACAACTTTCAGTTTTCAGAGATTTGGGGGGGTCTCAGAATTGCAGATCAGGGAGTCTGGGGCTGTGTTTTCTTTATCCAAAGTCCGACACACTTTGAGGAACGTGACAATGTGGTGGAGTCACCCTCTGCCCCAGCTGTGTGTCCCAGGAGGCCGGCCCACCCATAGATACTGCGTGAAGACCTCTTTGTCGATTACCTTAGGTTTGGTCCAATTTCTGGGAGGCAGATTTGGTGCAGGGGGGTGGAAAGAGTCACCTGCTGTTGCTGAACCCTGGGTACCCCCCTGCCCTACTGATTGCCGCAGACCCTGCCCACTGCTTTGTAAACAGTCCCTCCCCAAATGTGGGTGCATCATTCATGTCCTGCTGGGGCCCAGCCAGAGACACCGGAGCTCAGAGAGGATTTCTGCAGGCTGGGTATGTGTGCATGGAATTGTGCATTTGAGAGCACTGGGGACGGGCTGTGTGCAAACCGCAGCAACGTCGGGTCTGAAGGCTTTCGAGCACGGCTCTCACTGTCGCCCGTAGCTCTTCTGCCACCGGATCCGATCGGATGCTGTGGGTGAGCATCCACATCGGTGTCCCTGAAGCTGTCCTGACACTGTTGTGTGTGTGTGGCACGTAAGTGTGAGTGTGCCTACATCTGTGCCCGAGATGGCAAGGCTGTCTCTGGAGAGGAGGTGGCCGTGGCGTGGTTGTTCCACGGGCAAAGCTGGGATATGCAGTGGTGTTCGAGCATCGTTGTGTCACCCTCTGAGATGGCCAGGTGGCTCTATCTGACTATTGCAAAGCCACGTTTTTCTGTTTGTGGCTGTAGTTCGAGGGGTGGTTGTCCTATTTGTGATCCTGCTTCCTGCACAAGCAGGCGGGTGGCTCTGTGACTATATCAGGGTGGGCCACGGCCATGGGCGGTATCAGAGCCCATATGTGTGGCTGTTGTGTGGTTGGGGTGTGTGTACCACACACACACACACACTCTAGAACAGCACTGTCCCAATCAGGCTGTGTGGTCTATGACGCTGTCCTGCAGCTGGGGTGTGTGTGTTTGAGTTGGTGGCATACGTTATTGCCCGGCTGTGAGTGAGAACGGCTGTGACTGCATAGCTGTGTGGGAACCCGTGTGGGTGTAGCCGAGTCTAGGGGTCCTGTCTGCAGCTGTTGGGGTGTGTGTGTGTGCTGTCGTCCAGCCGTCTCCCCGGCTGTGCGGCTGTTGTGTGGTTGGCGCATGCCCCGTGGACAGGCCGTGTCTGACCGCGGCTCTGAGGCTCTGTAGCGTGTGTGTGCCCTCAAGCTGTGGCCCAGCGGCCCGGACACGGCTTTGGTGGTAGGGAGATGCCTGGTGCCCCACCTGATCCGGGAGGCTGGGGCAGGACGCCGGGCAGTCCTCAAGATCCTCCCTGTAGCCGCCGTCCCGCTCCTCGATGACCAGGTCGATGGGCATCTTTCCCTTGAGGCAGGTGATGTAGCGGTGACAGAAGTTGTCGCACAGGTCGTGGACCTGAGGGGGCACCGGGGTACTGGGGGGGCCACCCGGGGGCCAGGGCTGGGGTACACAGGGATGGGGGTGGCATTCTGCCCCAACTCTGGGGGAGGGGGAGGGGGGGGACGGGGGGCAGGCGAGGGTGTGAGGGGAAGTGAGAAGCACTCACCTTCTCCAGTTCCAGCAGGTGGCAGCGGAGCACCTGGATGGCCTGTATCATCTGACAACAGAGACGGGGGGAGACAGAGGAGGGAGAGAGGGAGGGAGGGCAGAGCGAGAGGAAGGAGGATGAGGAGGAGGAGAAAGGAGAGAAAAAGACAGACAGAGAAACACGAAGAGTGAGATAGAAAGACACAGACAGAGCGACAGAGAGAGAGAGAAACCGGGAACAGAGATGGAGACCCAGAATTAAGGGAAGAGAGAGCGTTACGTTGAGAGTCAGAGACAAACGAGGAGAAGGAAGAGGTGCAGGAGACAGAAGGGGGTCCATCACAGGAGGAGTGAGCCGAGGGGTCTGTAATAATACTAGCCCACCCTTCCCCTGCCTGCCCTCGGCTCCGTGTCCCACCCTTCACCTGCGAACTACATTTCCCAGAGTCCTTTGCCAAAGGGTTCAGCCAATAGGAAGCCCTCGTGGGAGCTTAGAAAACAAAAGGGAGAGAGAAGCCAGGGTATTTCTCCCTCTCCCTCTCCCTCTCCTCCCCGCTCTTCTCTCTCCTTTGCACCTGAGTCCTTGCACTCATTGTGGCGCAGGCTCTGTCCTCCCAACTGATAGAACAGCTTTTCAAGTCCCCATTCGGTGCCAGGCCCTGTTCTAAGCTCCCGTGAACTCATTAATTACCCACAACAGCCCTACAGGATAGAAGTTACTACAGGCTACACTTTACAGATGAGGAAACTGAGGCACAGGGAGAGGGAGCTCCTTTCTCTGGTTCACAGAGCTAGTAAGTGGCAGAGCTGGGATTTGAACTCGGGCCATTGGTCCTGTTCTCAAACTCCCGGCTACACTGCATTGCAGATGGGCCACAAATCTCGATATTTGAGAACGTGGGTCAGCTCCCCCAACCAACCCCAGGGCTATGGAGGGCAGGACAGGAGACCCCTTGGAGGAGGGGGCATTAGGGAGGGCCGGGGTCTCACCAGATTGTCCAGCTCTGGGTTGGAGGAGAAGAGGGGCCTCTCGGAGCAGACCTGGGAGGAAGAGAGAGGCCAGGGAGGGCACGTCCTGTCTCCCGCCCGCCCGTCCTCACTGGCACGTGGTGGATGGGGGGTGCCCACCTGCTTGGCAAAGGCAGCAATGTCCTCGTTGAAGGAATCGGAGGAGCAGATGTCACCGCCCGGGGGCGTGCCCAGCCCAGCCCCGGCCCCATCACGGGGTGAGCACGTGGCCAATTCACATTTCTCAAAGACCAGGGCCAGCAGCGGAAAGAGCGGGTGTCTGGGGGGAGCAGGAGAGGAGAGGGTTCACGAGGGCAGGGCAGGGGTCTGCGAAGCATGGAGCAACTGGGAGGGGGACAGGAGACCCAGAGAGGAGAGACGGAGAGACAGAGAGAGAGTGAGATGGAGTGCGAGAAAGAGAAACAGACCCAGAGAGACAAAGAAACAGAGAGTGGGAGAGAGGCCCACATCCCGAGACCCCACGGAGCCCTCGGCCCTCACCCCACTCACCCGTAGATCTCGTCCTTCTCCCTCTTCAGGCCATCGCTGTCCAAGCCCGGGGGAGGGGGCTGGGGAGGCCGGTGGGGGCCGTAGGGCCCCGGGGCTCTCGGTGCCGAGGGCACTGCCTCCAAGAAGCCAGCCAGGGCTGCAGTGCCATCCACAATGCCTGGGTAGTGGGGCAGCTCATCGTACTGAGGGGAGGTGAGAGACAGAGAGAGAGAGAGATAGCCCCAGGGAGACGTCAGCGCCAGCAAGAGACCTCCCCACCCTGGGACCCAGGAGATGCCCCCTCTCTGCCCCAGGAACCCGCCCTTCTGTTCCCCGAGTGTCCAAGCTCCACCTCCTTATGCCCCCCATGTCCGTGGAGCTGCTGGGTGGGACTGAGGGCCTTGTCTCACGGCCTCCCTTGTACCCCTGGACTGTGACAAATGTCCCATCAGAGATCCTTGAGGTGAGGGCAATGAGGGTCTTGGATCTGAGGGTCAGGGTGGGAGGTCAGGGGTCAGGGATGGTCTGGCTGGTAACTACCAGCTCCTCACAGAGTGAGGAGGGGAGGGAAGAGGGGAGAGAGCCGTGGAGAGAGAGACAGAGGGGAGGAGAGAGAAATGGTGAGAGAGATGGCAAGAAAGGCAAAGAGAAAGACACAGGAGATAAAGAGAGAAATGCAAGGAGACAGAGGGAGAGACAGAGAGACGGAGGGAGAGGCAGAGAGAGACCAAGTCACGCTCACGGACACTTCCCACGAAAGCCATGCATCGTTCAGACACGAACCTACATACAGTCTCCCCCACTTCAGTTTCATTTCACAGCTGTCAAATCTGCACATCTGAGTGTGTCTTAACAACCTGTCACACCCCACCCACCACGTGACTCCAATACACACACACACACACACACACACACAGCCAAACGCAGGGCACAGGAATGAATGAATGAATGAGTGAGTGAAGGAATGAATGAGGCCTTGAGCACAGTGCCTGGCACACGTTCAATAAACACTTGTTGAAGGAAAGTATGACCCTGCACAACCACACAAACCCACTGTGCAAACAGCCCCACAGAGAAACCATGAGCATCCGGGTGAGATTTCTGCGTCCTGTCATCACAGAAGCCCGCGGAGCAGGGAGGCCAGAGGGGCCTTTAAATCACAAGGTCAAACCCTTTCCTTGGAGATGAAGGAACTGAGGCTCCAACAGGCGCAGGCACCAGGGACTCGGGAGAGGAGGAGCCAAGTGCTCCCACCAGGGTCACCTGCGTGTGTCTCTCCTTCTCTCCGCCCCTCACTCTCTCTTCTCCCAACTTCTCCTGAGCCCTGAAGTTGAATCCAGTTGCTCCCGCCTTTCCCTGCGCCCCCAAGATGTGTGCTGGGGTCTTCAGTCCTGCCGCGTTCGCATCCTCTGCCCCCAAAGGTGCAGACTCACCTCCTCGCCTGTCTCCTCGGGGTTCGCCCATCCCCAGGACCATAAAAGAGAGAAGCCCTCGGCCCTGCCTGGTGAGACCCACCTCTCCCAGCACTGTGCCCACCCCTGACCCCGGAGCACTGGGAACAAAAGTAGACCAGGGAGAAGGACTGGGGAGGGCAGCCAGGGGTGGGGGGTAGGATAAAGGGCCTGAGATAGAGGGGGAGACAGGGGCAGAGAGGGGGAGACCGAGGGGCAGGGAGAGGGGAGGCAGAGGAAGAGATGGTGGAGAGGGCGGGATGGGCTGGGGGAGACGGACGGACGGGAGACGCGAAGACGGGCTGGGGCGCACGGTGCCCGCCCTCAGACCTACCCTCCGGGCCATGGGCTGAAGCCGGCGGCCGCTGCTGGGTCCCTCCAGGGCCTGGCGGGCGGGGAGGGCGCAGCCGGGGGCTGCGGCCCGGGTGGCCGGCGGGGCCGAC